TGGGAAATTCTGGCACTCAAAATCTGGAGGACACCAAGATAGAAGATGGAAACTCCAATTCTGGGAATTCAATAATCAATATAAAAAAGACCACCCAAAAGCCTTTTTGAAGAATTCCATATTTCTACAAAAAGAAATATCCAGAAGGTTCTGCAGATCACCAGAAACATGTAATTACCTTTTATCATGACTGTGAGTCCTCTGGTGTGTCTTTTCTCTGATATGTTAAAAGGTTGGAATTTTGACGGAAACTTTTCACACAATCTCGACATTTCTACCATTTGTCTTGGGAATGTATCATTAGTCCGGAATTTTGATTAAAACTTCTGCCACAATCTGGACACCCATACAATTTGTACATGTGAGTTCTCTGGTTTGTAATGTAATGTAATTAGCCTTTATCATGGCTGTGAGTCCTCTGGTATGTCACCGAGCTGGAATTCTGACTGAAACTTTTCCCACACTCTGAAGCAGGGGTCTTTAAAATTGACAGCTTTTAAGACTTGTAGAATTCAACTCCCAGAATTCCTCTTCCAGTCATGTTAGCTCAGGAATTCTGGGAGTTGAAGTCTACAAGTATTAAACTTGCCAAGTTTGAAGACCGTTGCTCTGAGGACTCATACGGTTTCTCTCTGATATTTTAAAGGCTGGGATTTTGACTGAAACTTTTCCCACAATCTCGACATTTCTATGATTTGTTTTGGGAATGTGTCATTAGTCCGGAATTTTGACTAAAACTCCTGCCACAATCTGGACACTCATACAGTTTGTACATGTGAGTTCTCTGTTTTGTCATCAGGTGGGAATTCCTACTGAAATGTTTCCCACACTCTGGGCACTCATACTGTTTGTCTCCTGTGTGACTCCTCTAGTGCTTCACAAGGTTGGAATTATCACTGAATCTTTCCTACACTCTGGACATTCAAAAGGTTTCTCTCCTGTGTGAGTCTTCTGGTGTTGCATAAGGCTGGAATTCTGAGTGAAACTTTTCCCACAACGTGGACACTCATAAGGTTTCTCTCTTGTGTGAGTCCTCTGGTGTGACACCAGCTGGAAATTCCAGCTGAAACATTTGCCACAATTTGGACATTGATATGGTTTTTATCCTGTGTGAATACTCTGGTGCACCAGGAGGTTGGAATTCTGACTGAAACATTTTCCACATTATGGACATTCATATGGCTTGTCTCCAGTGTGAGTAGTCTGGTGTTTCACAAGGTTGGAATTCTGACTGAAACTTTTCCCACAATCTGGACACTCATATGGTTTGTCTCCTGTGTGAGTCCTCTGGTGTGACACCAGCTGGAAATTCCGACTGAAACATTTCCCACAATCTGGACATACATATGGTTTTTCTCCTGTGTGAATCCTCTGGTGAATCAGGAGGTTAGAATTCTGACCAAAACTTTTCCCACAATCTGGACACTCATACGGTTTGTCTCCTGTGTGAATTCTCTGGTGTTTCAAAAGGTTGGAATTATGACTGAAACATTTCCCACATTCTGGACATTCATATATTTTTTCTCCTGTGTGAGTCGTCTGGTGTGTAATGAGGCTGGAATTCTGACTGAAACTTTTCCCACAATCTGGACATTCATACGGTTTTTCTCCTGTGTGAGTCCTCTGGTGTGTAGCAAGGCTGGAATTCCGACGAAAACATTTCCCACAATCTGGACATTGATACGGTTTGTCTCCTGTGTGAATCCTCTGGTGTGTCACAAGGTTGGAATTCTGACTGAAGCTTTTCCCACAATCTGGACACTTATAGGGTTTGTCTCCTGTGTGAATCCTCTGGTGGGTCACCAACTGGGAATTCTCACTGAACCTTTTCCCACATTCTGGACATTCATATGGTTTGTCTCCTGTGTGAATCCTCTGGTGTGTCACAAGGTTGTAATTCCGACTGAAACTTTTCCCACACTCTGGACACACATATGATTTCTCTCCTGTGTGAGTCCTCTGGTGTTGAACAAGTTTGAAATTATGGGTGAAACCTTTCCCACACTCTGGACACTTATACTTTTTGTCTCCTGTGTGAGTCTTCTGGTGTTTTATCACACTATAAATATAACTGAAGTGTTTCTCATATTCTGGACATTCATACGGTTTGTCTCCTGTGTGAATCCTCTGGTGTGTCACAAGGCTGGAATTATGACTGAACCTTTTCCCACACTCTAGACACTCATAAAGTTTCTCTCCTGTGTGAGTCCTCTGGTGTTTCACAAGGCTGGAATTCTGACTAAAACTTTTCCCACAATCTGGACACTCATACGGCCTGTCTCCTGTGTGAGTCTTCTGGTGTGTCACCAGGTTGGAATTCTGACTGAAACATTTCCCACATTCTGGACATTCATATATTTTTTCTCCTGTGTGAGTCGTCTGGTGTGTAATGAGGCTGGAATTCCGACTGAAACTTTTCCCACAATCTGGACATTCATACGGTTTTTCTCCTGTGTGAATCCTCTGGTGTATAATGAGGCTGGAATTCCGACTGAAACTTTTCCTACACTCAGGACATTCATACGGTTTGTCCTGGGAATGAGTCCTCTCATTTGTCATTAGGCCAGAATTCTGACTGAAACTTTTGCCTCAATCTGAACAGTAATACATTTTATACTGTGTGAGTTCTCTGGTGTGTCATCGGGTGGGTATTCTGACTGAAACTTTTGCCACAGTCAGGACAATCATATAATTTCTCTCCAGTGCGAGTCCTCTGATGTGTCACCAGGTGGTGATATTCTTGAGGTCATATATATGTGTGATCATTTGTTTACTGGTGCTTTATTTCCACCTGTTTTCCTCCTCACAGGGCCAGGCCTCCACCACACTCTGCCCTATGTGGCTATCCAATAGATCTTTTTCTCCCTGCTGACTTTCAGAGATACCCCTCTTTTTCTGAATGAAATATAATCTCCCTTGATCTTTAATGTAACGTATTCTTGAGTTTCTCACATTCTACGTTTTCTAGCTTGAAATCTCTTAATTTTCTCTTCTTGTCTCTCAACTGCTGGGAAAAGAGAAGAATTTTATGATTTTCTGAAGGAAATGGAAAATATTTTGATTTCTTGCTGGCTTTGCTTTTTTTTCCAATGTTGTTTGTTATTCTCAATTTTCCAGAGTGCTCTTATTGCCATCCTCTTTGTCTGTAAGATTCAAAGAAACATGTAACTAATTCTTTTTAAAATAGTTGCTGAAGATGTGAAAAAAAGAAAAAAGTATACATTACAAAGAATAAGCAAACATGCCACAATAAGGAATAACCTCTTACATTAGTTAT